TGCCTTTCTGTATGGGCCTGCTGTGGGTGTACGTGGCAAGATACCTATTAGATTATTTAAGGAGAGAGAGAGAGGAGAGAGAGAGAGGAGAGAGAGAGAGGAGAGAGAGGAGAGAGAGAGAGAGAGAGAGAGAGAGAGAGAGAGAGAGAGAGAGAGAGAGAGAGAGCAGGACAATTTCCTAAAGTATTATTTTGCTGTGATGGTTATTTTTAAAAAGCACCTGAAGATTTATTTGGGTGACAGTAACCTCACGGATAACGTACAGTATAGTTTGCTTTCTCAACTTGCTGGTAACAGGGACAGAAACCCTGGCAGAAAAAAGCATTCTCGAGAGCATGGCTGTCATAATGACTGTCACCTCCTTTCTGTCCCTCTCCCTCTCCGCCCCCCCCCCGCCCCGTATTCCCACCATAGGATGCCTTCTTCCTCTCCTGGAGGGGTTAAGTGAGGGCTAATCCTGGCCTCCAGGCTCCGTTACAGGACGAAGAAGGCATTATGCCAGGAAGCTAAAGGGCAGAACCTTCCAACCACAGCCCTCTCCTGGTTCTGAATTGATAGGGGACAAGTTCCACTCTACAGCAAGGCAACAAAGAATCTGATGGAGATGGTACGGTGATGGGGACAATAATGAATGCAGGGTTGGGTACCGTGGGGTGGTGGGGCAGGGCTCGTGGAAGACTGGCGTTTAGTCAGACCACGATGGAGACCTGGGCAGAAGGCACCTTCCAGGCTCACGGAGTACGGTAGGAAAGTTCATGAAGGTTGGGCAGTTCGTGGAGACTTGAATACCCATTCTGAGAAGTGTGCACTCTGGACACACTGGTATCTGAAGAAGCCTGAGAGGAGAGCAATGAATAACATCTTCCTTTTTGTAGTACCAGGGACTGAACCCAGCACCTCAAATATGCTAGGCAAATGCCCTTCCACTGAGCTACACCCCAATCCTTTAAAATATTTTATTTCTTTTTTTTGGTACCGGGGATCAAACTCGGGTCCTTGCGCTTGTGCAGCAGGCAGCGAAACCACTGAGCTAAATCCCCGGCCCCCTAAAATATTTTATTTTGAGATAATGGCTTGTTAAGTTGTCCAGGCCAGCCTCAAACTTGCAACCCTTCTGCCTCAGCCTCCTAAAGTCCTGGGATTACAGGTATGCGCGACCATGCCCAACTTCCTTCTGTTTTAGGGGATAATTTCTGCTAACAGTGTGAAGCGGTGCTGTTTTAAAAAATAGCACTAGTCACACCTGGTTACTGAGCATTTGGAATCTGGGTAGTCTGAGCTGAAATGTGCTGTAAATAAAATATACACCATATTTTGAAGACTTAGCTCAAAAGTATTTCAAAATGCCTCAATATTTTTATGTTGATGACAAGTTGAAATTTTTTGATATATTCAATTCAGTAAAATAAAAATTAATTTATGTATTAGCTTCTTGTAGTTTAGACACAGTACTTGATGTTGACAACTTAAAGGAGGACAAGTTTAACTGGGCTCAGTTGTGAGGAGTTCAGTCCATGGTCAGCCAGGTCCATGGTAGTAATGTCCTGTGGAAGGGTGTGCTGGGAGCACAGAAAAAGGGGACTGTGCCAGACAGGAACGGCCAAGAAATCATACAAAGTCCCCATGGGCCACCCAGACAGACTGGGAGACTGCTTAACCAACCTGCGAGGCGTTTCCTAATCTGATGAGGCTGACACGTCAGGATTAATGGTCACAACTTCAATGGCTTCTTTAATGAAGCTCCTGGAAAATTGGAAATCTCCCCTGTGGCTCACAGCATCTTTTTCTTAGACAGCTGAAGTTGGTGTTTGGGAGGGAAGAACTGAAGACCAGGAAAGGACCGGAAGCTGCTGCAAATCCTGAGAGCAGAGATGGTGAGGTTCAGGAGGGCAAGGATTCTGGGGACGCAGAGGTGGGAACAGGGGCAAAGGCTTTTGAAGTAGGACTGGACAGGGAGTTTTTGCCATTGCTTCCAATCCCAGAAGTGGGGTTAGGAAGAGGTCAGAGTCCAGGTTGCATGTGAGTGTCTGGTCCCAGTGACTGAAGCCTTGGGGATAATTTTCAGGTTTGATGCATGCGAGTTTCTACATGGGGGTGTGCATTGTTGTGGCTGCATGTGGGTTGTCCCTGCCAAAACTCATGCTGAGGATCAGTTCCACGACGTAATGGCACTGGCCACTGGCGTGGTGTGGCTTTTCCCAGGAATACTTAGATGGAAGGTCACAACCCTGGGAAGGGATTAATGTGGCTATGAAAGAGCTCCAGCTGTCCTGGGACTAGCTTAGTACTGGAGTACATGGCTTGGCAATTACCCTCCATGTCTTTCCTGTACTGCCAACATGGGCTGCCACGTGTGGCAGGCAGCACAAGAACCTCACCACATGTGGTCCATCTTGAACTTTGCTGCCTCCCAAAAATGAGCTACATAAATTGATTTTCTTCATAACTTACCCAGCCCCGGGGTATTTTGTTACAGTGAGAGAAAACAGACCAAGACACATACATGTGTATGGAACAGGGAGGAGTTGAGGGGTGAAGCTCAAGAGAGAGGACGTAGTGGGGCTGCAGATCTAGGAGTTAGCATCAAGAGGCGGTGACTGGACAGAAACAAGGAGCTCATGGCGAGGGAGTAGAATGAAGCCTTGCAGAGGATCATGCACAGGACAAAGGATGGGGCTCAGAATTCATTGCGTGCAGGAGAGAAAAGAGAAACTGGGGAGAGCCACTGAGGCTGGCCTGGGAGGATCAGAGACCCTTGTACCGTGGAGACCACAGGGACCATTTTGGATGGGGCTGTTACAGCTCAGGAAAGAGACCCAGAGTCAGTGGAAGAGCCACCGGTATTGCCGGAAGGGGTAGGGCTGGGCCTGAAGGTGAAGGTGGATATTAGATTACAAAAGGCCAGGGGGAGAGGGGCCTGCAGGTGTGGGGAGTGCTCTTTGCTGAGGATCCTGCACTACAGAAGGTTTTGGGGGCCTGGGAGGCCGAAGAGGGGGCACACAGGACTAGTGTAGGAGGGCGAGGCCCAAAGGAGGAGGAGGGGGAGACAGAGAAAGAGGGTGAGCGAGCAGGAGGGCAGGCGGAGGGGGGACAGTAATTGATGGAGCAAGCCCAAGAAAAGGAACTAACGCAGGAGATGTGTGAAAACGTTACACCTGCAGCAAGTCCTTCATAAGCCGGCTCCCGCCTGGAGCTACAACCGCCTGAGTCCCTCCGGAGCACCCAGGCCTCCCTGGGAATCCATCAGACAGGGCTCCTGGGCTGGAGGAGGAGAGGAGACCCTTCCCGGATCCAGCCCACTGCTCTGGCTGGGGGTCCGCAGAGACGCACTGCACCTCCCCGAGGCCAGGCCGGGGTCAGGAGCGGGCTCTTTCCTGGGCCCGCAGCCTCACCCGAGGCCCCAGGGACAGCCCGAGGCTGCTTACACCCTAGCGTCTCCGCCCAGCGCCCAAGGAAGGGCCAGCGAGCCCACCGCTCCCTCCCGTCCCTGAGCCCCCGGCTCCGGCTGCAGCGCTAGGCTTCTCCGGCAGGGGCGCTGGGCACCCGCGGATGGCCCGCCCGGCCCGTGGCTGGAACTTTTCCGGGGCGCTTGGCACCCTAGGTCTCTGGCTCCTTCCCGCCCGCCTCCCTCCTCTCCTCCGCCCCTCTTCTTTCGCACCTCTCCCTCCCTCGCCCTCCACTCCCTCCGGCGTCCCCGTTCTCGTTCTCGGTTTCCCCTCTGCTCCTCCGCCTCACTTCTTACCCTGGGTGCGTCCCCCGCCCTCGGCTCGGGTTCAGCTCCCCTGTAAAGGAGCCCTCCCAAGGCCGAGGGCGGCAGGGCCTGCCGGCGTCTCCTCGCCACCCCCTCCTCTCCGGAGGGCCCCCAAAGCTCCGAACTCCCGCCTCGGCCGCCCCAGAGGTCCGGGAGCTCCGCGCGTTTCGGGCGCCCTGGCTGGGGCTCTCGGCCCCTCAGGTCTGCCTTCCCCTGCCCGGGCCCAGCACGTGCCAGCGGGCGGGGACACCGTGCACAGCGCCCGCTCGGGCACCCCTGGCAGCTCGGCGGCACGGGCTCTGGCTCTCCCGGGGCAGCAAGCATCTCTCCCGCCCTCGGCCCATTCTGGCGGCAGCCCGGAAGCAGAGCCGTTTCCCGGCCCGGAGGCCTGACCGGATCGTGTTCGCGGAGGCGGGGGCTCCAGAAGAGGGGCCAACCCTGCTCTCCACGCGCCCCTGCAAACGCCACGCAGCCCGCGCGTGACCCGCCCGCGCCCACGCCGACACGCACACACGCTCGTGTACACGCGCGCGCGAGGAGCCGCGCGCCCCCGCTCCCCAGGTACCCCGCCCCGCGGCGCCCCCCACCGGCCGCTCGGGTGCCCCCGCCGCCCCCCGCCGGCTCGCACGCACGCGCACGCACACGGTCCCCGCGCCCCCGCACCGGGGGGGGGCACGGGGGCGAGCCGAGCCCCAGCTCCAACCCGCGCCGCTTCCGCGCCTCCCCACTCAGGCTCGGCTCCCGCTCGGCCCTGGCGCGAGCGGCGGCTCCGGAGCGCTTTCCTCCTCCGCCCCGAGACTCCGCCGACTCCCGCTCCCCAGAAGTGGCCCGAAGAGTGAGCCCCGAGCGCGGCGAGGAGCGGCTCCCAACTCCGCGCCGGGGGAGGTGGGAGGTGGGTTTCGGGAGACTCGAGCGGGGCGCCTTAGCCAGCCCCGCCTTCTGGGTCCCGCTTGATTTTACGTCTTGAAAGAGGATCTTCTTCCCTTCGAGTGCCCCTTCTCACAACATTTCTGGAGGAGCTCGGCGGCCGAGCCTTGGGCAGGTCTTTTAACCCGGACAGCGCCGAAGGAGCCCTGGTCAGTTTCCCAGGCGGCGGAGGCCGAGTGCCCTCTGGACCACCGCGGAGGGCCAGGGCGCGCCAGCCACCGGGGCCCCCTCCCCGCTCCCGCTCCCGCTCCCCGCCGGCGCGCGCACCCACCGCGCCGGACCCGCACCTGGGCGGGCGCCGAACACTCGGCAGCCGAGCCGCGTTCGCCGCAGCGGGATGGAGGCTGCGCGCGTGGAGCGCCCCGCAGGCTGGCCCGGGGCGCCCCTCGCCGGGACCGGACTCCTGCTCCTGTGGACGTGGGTTCTGGCGGGCGCCGAGATCACTTGGGGCCCGACGGGCGGCTCGGGGCGCCTCGGGGCTCCGGCTTCGGGGCCGCCGGCGCTTCCTCTCCTCTCGCTGAGGGCAGTGGCGAGCCAGTGGCCGGGGGAGCCGATGGCCGCGCGGAGAACCGCCGCACCCGGTCGCTGGCCGAGGGGCGGCGAGATGCAGGCTGAAGCCCGGGGGACGTCGCCTCCAGGCGCGCCGTGGGTCCGAGGCGCCCCGGCACCTGCCAAGCGGGGCGGCGCGAGGAGGAGTCGCCGGGCGCAATCGCCCAGCGCCCTGGAGCTCGGAGACACCCGGGCCACTGCAACGGCTGAAGGCGCCAAAGGAAGCCGCCCTCTGGCCCAGGGTCGTCGGGAGGAGGTGCGCGCGACGCGGACTGGGGGCCCGGCCGCCGAGGAGCTCCGTCTGCCCAGCACCTCGTTCGCGCTGACCGGGGACTCGGCCCACAATCAAGCCATGGTGCACTGGTCGGGGCACAACAGCAGTGTGAGTACCCAGCAGGGCGGGTCGGCCCTTCTGACTCCCGGGATGAGGGCGAGCGCGGGGAGGGACAGAGTGGCCCCAGGTGTGGAACGGGAGATCTAGACTTGGGGGGAGATTTGTCCACTTCTCCCTCGCCCCAACAGGTTAGCAGAGTTTGCCATCGTGATGGTGTGCGTGTGCATGTGCGCGCGAGTGTTTACCGGAGACCCTAGAACTGGTGCTCCCCAAGAGGAGAGCTGTGTCTAGAGATGAGTGGAGGAGGCGTCCGCAGCCGCTTCCCTGTTCCCTGAGAGAGCCAGTGTCCCAGTTGGGGGTGTTGAGTTCCTCCTGGGTGAAGACAGGGATGGATGTGGGGAAGGAGCAGCTGGACAGTCGGACGGATCCCGGCCACGACGGGGCTCCCCTCGTACAGCAGCCCCCGCACCAAGCCTGAGGCGAGGCCACGCCGCCTGGTGCCGGCCGGGTGGCGGCTCTGCGCTGGGGCACGCGGTCGGCCAGCCCTCAAGGCCAGGCAGCGACCGTCGAAGGCTGTAAGGCAGTGGAAAAGTTTCAAGCATGGAGCGAGTTCGTTGCCCGCCTCTCCGCTCGCCCGCCTACACAAGCACCCCTCTTCCCGGCAGAGGGCTCCTCCACTGCCCAGTCGGGCCGAGCGGAGTCGTCCCGAGCCTGCCTGCCTCGCGCTTCCTCACCTCTCTCCCCGCCTCCGCGGCCCCGGACGCGGCCGTACCGAGAGGTGGCGCCTCTGAGCCCGCCCTGGCAGCTGGGGCGCTCGGTCTGGGCGCCGGTCTGAGCCGCGCCTGGTGGCTCGGCAAGCTGCAGGAGCCGAAGGGCGTGCTCGGGCTCGGGCTCGGGCTGGGACTGTCTCCACCTGGCCGCCGCGCAGGGCGGCCCAAGTCGAGGAAAAGCCGGGGCCCGGCTCCCCCGCCCCAGGTCCTAATCCAGGCAGCCTGCCCGCCCTTCCCTCTTGCCTCTGTCCCAGGGACCCTGGCGTGGGTACAGCAGGGCTCCAGGCAGGGCGTCATGGCGGTCTGAAGGAGCAGCTTGGAAAAGCCCGTTTGATGGGAAAGCTGCCCCGCTTTGTTGTTCTCATGGGCTATCGAAAAGGTTTCCTTCGGATGTGTCGCCTCATTTCAGCAGAGCCTGGGTGCCCTCTGGCTGGGTAGTGGATCGCCTAAGCAGCCCAGCGGTAGGCCAGTGCAGATTTCCTGTTCTCTCCGTGACACGCAACACGGTGGGGCGCCCAGCCTGTATCAGATGCTGGGTACCTGGATGGGTACAAAGCCGCTCAGGCAGCTCCATGGCACCTTCGTGGGCGTCACAGCCTTGGGCTGGACAGCCCTGCTGTGAGGCTCTGCAGGGCCAGGTGTCCCCACCTCCATGTCCCCAGAGGATGTGTGTGTGGGTGTGTGGCTTCCCTGACAGTGAGGCTGTGAATCTGAACTTCATTTAACTTTGAGAATGAGGAATTGTGTGTGCACACTTTTTCACTCCCGGAGGAGCATGGGTTTGATGTGAGGATGAAGTAAATGCGTTCCAGGGGAGGGGTGGGGAGAAGCTGTCTTCACACACCTGTGGCTTCCTTCCTGCCACATTTGGACAGTGAAAATTCAGCTGGCCTGAGCAGTTTTTTGGTCTTTGCTTTTATCATTCTTGAGTGTTGACAAAACCACCCCTGGAGGTGGAGTTCAGAGGGAAAATGCTTCCCGCAAAAAGCCCAGTATGCAAGGCAGTTCAGCAGCAGAAGAAAGCCCCGCATGCCCTTGCCCCCGGGAAGGTGGCCCTCCGTGGAACAGGGCTTCGGGCCTGGGCAGCATGCAGGTTGGGCTTCCAGCCTCCGTGGCAGCCGCGAGGTCTGAGCCACCCCTGAACATCCCCCAGGGCCCTTCGGCTGCTCCTGGCTATCGAGGGCAGGGCTGCCCCAAGGGGCCTGTCCCCTCCAGGCAGTGAGGGACTGCTTCCGAAGCTGCTTTTCTGACCACACCTGTGGCCGGGCCAGGCAGAGGCGCGCTTGCTGGTCAGGTCTGGGATGGTCACTGAGCAAGAGGGGAGGCTGTCCAGTGAGACTGTGTGAAACAGCCCCTCGGAGCAACTGGGAGCCAGCCCCAGCAGGAGCCCCTGTTTGGATCTGCTCCCCTCCCCTTTCTGGACAGCAGGAAAAGAAGGAGACGACTGACCGACAGGGTGGTGAAGTGTCAGGAAGGTCGTTCAGTGTGATTTCGGAGGAGCGGGATGCCACAGAGCAGAGAACGTGCCGTCACCGTCACCGGCCCCTCTGACTTGGATGGAGAGCCCTGTTCTTCTGCGTCCCTCTCCAGGAAGGGCCCAGCTTCAGCTTTAGCACAGTTGGGCTTGGTGGCGTCAGCTGACCTCAGTGCTGGGGCCCCTTCTTGGGACGGTTTTAGGCCCTCCTGGTTCAGCCCAGGATGGGACCCTCATCGAAAGCTGGGCAGCTGTTTGCTTGGGCCCTGGTCCTGGGGTGGGAAGGCTTGGAGGGCACAGGAGAAGGTGCCCAGCAGGCTGGAGGCAGAGGGCAGCAGGAAGAGGAGGGGTCAGGTTCCCCTTTGTCTGCGTGTCACTGCCAGGGTCCTGGTGGTGGAGGTGAGTAGGCTTGGCCTTGGACCCCCTACTCCGGAGGGGCGATTTGCCCAGGCTGCTTCTCACCCCTTGTCTGGAGCTGGGATCTTGGTGATTAATGGGTTAGAGAGCATTTCACAAACACCCAGGGGGAGCCCCGTCCCCATGGCTCACAGGGAAACAGAAACGCATTGTTCTGTCCTTTTCCTTCAGATGAAGGAAGAAGCCTCCTTGCTGCTCAGTGAATTGGCAAAAGGCCCTGGAGGGTGGGAAGTTGTGAAGGCCCGGCCCATGGCCTACCTCAGGCCCCTTTTCCTGGATTAAGCCTTGGTGGGGCCCTTCCCTCCTGTACCGAGCCTGGCCGAGCCGGGAGTGCTGTGCCCTCCAGTAGGTTGCTCCCCAGTTTTCCAGCAGCTCCTCATGGCCCGGCTTGCAGGCTGCTGCTCTGAGCCACCTGCCAAGTCGTTCTTGGGAAGGTGGGTGGAAACGGGGAGACACCAGTCCCCACAGATCACTCTTCCTGGAGCGTGGGGGAGACAGAACACGCAGGGTCTGCAGGCAGGATTTCTACCTTGCACTGATGCAGCTGTGTTCTAAAATATTTACTCCTAATGTGCAAAATAGTGACAGCTTTGATCAGAGTAATTGTATTTCACTCACTAAAGCATCTAATTGGGGCTCCCAAGCAGATTGTTCAGATAGCTTTTGGCTGGATTGTCCAGCCTTCCCTGTCCCAGCTCCCAGCCCCCGTCACAATATCTTAATGCATTTTGCCTTCCTGGAGGCTTAGTGAAGAAGCCTGCCACAAAAGCCATTCTTCAGGGGTTTGCCAAAAGACTCTGTTTAATTAGCATTACAGGGAGAGCCATCTGAGTCAGTCCAGGTGTAGCTGGGAAGTGGGTTGGGACTAAAGGGCACTAGCTGCTGCTGGTGGCCCTGAGTGGGTGTGAGCAGAGGAGGCCCTACCAGGAGGTTGTGTCTGCTCTGCTTTCCTCTGACGCCCGCCCGGGTTGCCGCCTCTGATTTGCTCCTCCAGTCCTGCAGTGATTTATTTCCAAGGTGTGCAGAAGTTGCAAACTCTAATTGGAAGGCTTGATTCAAGGATTGCAGGAATGCAGTGGTGGGAACTTGCTGTGTGGTTCGCAGGGAGGAATGCTGGGAAGTGGCTTCTCAGTTGTGCTGGGTTTGAGGGAGAAGGTGAGTGACAGGGAGGGAAGGCTCAGGAGACCACTTCTTTGGGCGACTGTTCCTGAGCAGTTCCGGGACTGGATGTCTGTGGGCCCTGAATCATCCTGTCAGAAACAGATGACCCGCAGAGCCAGACGTGGGGATTAGAGGCTGTCTGGGGGCTGGTGGTTCCTCTGTGCCTAGGGACAGATGGGCAGGTCGCCTTGTGCGGACAGATGGCTTGACCCACCTGTTGATTTTTGGCTTCGTGCTCTCCTGTGGCTCCCTGCCTGGCTTGAGACACATCCTTTAAGGAGGAAGATGTTGGGAGGCTTCTGCAGCGAGTCTGGGAAGGAGGTCTTGTGGAGGCAGAGGTGGGCAGTGCACGTGCACGTGCCTCATGGTGACCATTGGTGAGCAGCAGGGCTCTGTGCAGATGTGTGGGTGACTGCTCTGCTGATAGCGGAGATGAAGCCCTTGTTTCCCAGCATCAGGCGCTTCATCGCATTGAGGTAAGCAGGAAAACCAGTGATAGTCTCCAGTTTCATGGCATGCAGGCTGCGAAGGAATCTGAAGTTTTTGCCTGGGATATAGGTGATTTCCTGATCGATAGCTATAGTGATCAGGAATATTTCACTTCGTATGCCTTCCTTTCAGCTTGAGGGCCTTTGGCTTCTCGAATTCCAGCCCACAACTCTTTGTCCTGGCCTTCAAGGGCCTTCACTGCGTGCATGTGCTCTGTGTCTACCTCTGCAGCGTCGGGTGGGAGTGCTGCATCTTGCACTGTAGCAGGAGCAGCCTCCTCTTGTCCCAAGCCCTGCTGGCCTCTAAGCCTTTGCTCTTGAGTTCTTCTCCTCTTGGGATTCCCTTCTCCCTCGGTTAAAATGTACCTGGGAGTTGTGGCTCAGAGTCTTCCCTACAAACATGTATTTCCCTTTTCCCTGTTGTTTGTAGAATTTACATTTGGTCACTTTGGTTTAACGCTTGATTACTTTAGTCTTGTGTTATTTAGTGTCTTGAGGGTGAGAGGTGAAACTGTAAAACACTTCCCCTGACTGTGGGCTCTGCTTTCCTCCTGTGTTGCTTTTGCCCAAAGATGACAGATGGGTTAACAGTGCTCCGTAATGACACGAGATGTATGTGCTTGGTTCATTATTTCACATGTACACTTTAACATCAGAGTTAAGAGGTCTGCACCCCACCTAGACAGAGGGTGGGGACAAGGACTGCTCACCGATGCTGGCTCTGGTGCACTTCAGAGA